ACATCATTCTTCTATCCGAAACGTTATCGAGCCCTTCAGATAATCACGCAATAATTGAATCACATGCTGCGCATGCGATTAGAAAAAACGACAGTGCTAAAAAGGACTAGAGGCTACATTAGAATTAGTAAAAACGAGACTAAACTTTAAGCGGTACCACATGTGTAATATAACACGTTCTCATACAGAAACGTTATCATTTCCCTCTTACGATTTTTTGTACTTTTTTGATTAGGGTTCATTATTTGGCCGAGCTAGTTACCATTAAATCTTTGTCCATTCACAAATATCTCGTACTACATATACAGTGTATATAATATATACACTCACACACACCAGGCATATAACTTGGTATTTAAATAGTACTACTTGTTTCTCTGTTCTCATATTCGCTTCTTCATTTTTTTTTTTTTTACCTTGTTTTATAAAAGTTCTATTTTACTGCTATGTTCGTGGTGACTACACCATACGTACGATTGATCCACTTGCACAATGTTGCTTTTGTCATACTTTCATCTCCTCCCCCTCTTTACACTCTTCCCTCTTCATTTTCATCTTCAATTTCTTCCCTTCCCTTGCTTTCCGATCTTCTTCCTCTGTTTGCTCTACTCACCTCCTTCATTTTCGTTCACACAGCAAAAAGTACATCTTAATCGACACGTTATTTACGTTTACACATACCGGAAGCGACTACGGAAAAAGTACAACGCTGCGCCTTGCCTCTAATGAGAGAAAAGTGTCGTTGTAATTCGGTTTCGCCAACTCACTTTTTTTTACATTAATATTAACACAGCTCAGAGTTAACAAGTGATCAAAGGACGATTACAGAATTCTTTTTTCCGGCCTTTAAGTTTACTTATCTTTAAAAATCACATAAGTCGTACCAGAGTTGTCTGAGTACTTTCACACGTATGATCGGACAAAAAGTGCAACCAATAATCTTTATAAACATCTAATTTACATTTTTCGTCGAACATATTTTGTTCTTCTTTTCTCTTTCTTTTTTCGTAATTTACAAACGAAAATTCTTTTATCCTTAATTCCTTTACCTTCTATGAATATAATAACACTAATGTATCTTGCACAATTTTTGTGGCATATTTTGTGAAAGCAACCAAAAAACAAATTATCGATGCTTTTTACATTAAATCTTAATTATAACTTAGACACAAACTTTTTACCCCATTATGGATTTTAAACTCAAAATATACAATTATTCGTACATTTTTTAACAATGAGAGATAGAGATTGAATTTGTATCTCTCAACGAGATCACAAAGAAGCAGATTATCTACATATTTTGGATCTTTGTCATTTTCAGCTTGTAGTTTAACAATTTCTAACTCCAACAGACTCAGAGAAATTACAATGCAATTACTAACTGTTAAATAACTATTGTGCTCTTCTCATTAAATAAGGAAAATAAACTTTCTAGCTAATTATACATAAATGTTATAAACTGAATACTCTATCTCAAATTCAGAATTGTCAAAATTTTATATAATATAATTTCATAGAAGCGACTTTAATGACGTTTATCATTAATGGTTGTCAAGTGATATTAAGACATGAATTTATGATTATTTCTGGCATTATTCGTGAACATGAATGCATTCAGATAAAGGCTACGATCGACTTGATATTCTGGAAGGTGAATCATGACCTTACCTTGGTCACCGCACGTCGAAGGAACTCTTATTAGTGTTACAGACACAACAGTTTAGTTGTAAACATATTGTGAAGATTAACATTATATAATAATCAACTCATCATCAAGAAAAAGAACTAACTCTAATTGAAACACTACTAGCTGTAACGAAAAATTTCACTCGTTAACTTACTGCTTTGATACCCAAAATCGCACTTTGGCAACAGAACTACTTATTGCGCAGTCTCGTGATTAAGTAACAACAGAATAATACAGCAACTACTTTTATAATTAAATAATACGAATCGATGAGATTTTAGATGTTCTGTGGTTCAATAACCAATATTAATGTACAAAGCTCATTCAAAAATGATACATTGTCAATGAACGTGTGTGTCGTAACATTTATACACCTTCTTCTGCTGTATTCAGAAAACTGCGAATCTCTGAGATCTTGTGTTAAACTAGGGGAAATTATGAAAAAGGTCTTCCTGGCTGAATTTGATAACTTAATCGATTCCACCTCGTTATTCGTCTTCTGTATCTCCATCACTACTGTAATCTTGTAAAACTGCTGGTCTCAAAAAAGGTGCATTGTTAGTTTGACTGTAACGACAAAAATAATTTAACTCTATATCTAGGCCAAAATGTATACCAAACGAAATGTTTTCAAGTGTAAAATTACTTACGCGAGTCTTCGATAATGATTTAACCATTCTTCTAGCATTTGTGCTACTAATAAAGGTCTCTTGTGTAGTTTTTGTTGCGCAACAAGGATACCACCTTCGGTTCTGCATACGTCAAGCCATTCTTTTAAAATAGATTCTTCTCGACCTACTTCTTCCAAACTCAAAAAATGTATTGGTAAAAGTTTATGTTCTCGGTCCATTAATGGCATAAATGTCGTCTGCATTTGTATTTGCAGCTGCTGAAGTGGACCATTACCACCACCATGAGATGAAAGAGGTGGTATTCTGGACGATGCGTATGGTTCGATGGGAACTAAAGCCGTGAAATGTCCACGCGTATAACCCAAAGCAATAGGAGAACGAATACAAAATGAAGGTTCCCATAAAAGTGGAAGATAAACACCTTCAAATCTTGCATAACCTGCATGAAAATACTTCGTTTAATTACACAAGAAGTGCATATATGAAATTTGTTTTCGCAATGGATATTTACCTATATCTTCGCCCCTAAAACTTTTAACATATTTAACCCCATAAACAATAATAGGTCGCCTTAAAATGTGGGCAAGAGCAAATACATGTAACTGCTCCAAAGCACTTCCTGGTTGAGCAGCTGTTGCTAATAAACTTTCCCAATCCTCTTGCCACTGAGTCTCTTCTAATGTAAAATCCAACATTCTAGACGCTTGAGATGCTTCGTATTCTCTCCATCGAGGATAAAAACTGCATTAATAAAAATACATGTTATTACAACATACATGAAAAACAGATAAAAAATGATTCAAAAATAATATAAGAATTGCTTACAATTGACCAGCTTGTTGTAGAGAATCAGCAAGAGCTCTTCTTAAAGCATTATCTCGATCAAAAACGCCCCAAGTAGCTTGCATTGCAGAATCTAATAAACAATCTCCAGCAGATCTATTCCAAAGTGCATGTAAACGACTTCCTAAACGTTCGGTAATTTCTAAAGACCAATTTAATGCTGGTGGTTCTCCACCACCACCTTCTAATTGTTGCTGAGCTTCTTTATCCAATAATTCTTCCAACATTTGTTCTTGCACTATACTTGGTAAATCTTCAACCTAACAAGTAATTTTATATTTAAATATTATTTATGTTATATCTAGAAATGAATTTTTAACAAATCTTAACATTCCGCTATACTACAAAGAAAGAATTATAATGTTATAATAACCTCAGCAGGCAAAGCAAATGTAGCTATATCAGTGACAAAATAACATGGAAAAGAACCCTTGCGTAGCCGGATACTATTAGTGACATGTCTGCGTATTTGAGCAGCCAAATCTGGTGCAACATAACTTGGTACTCTTTTTACTCCAGATCCAGAACCCTCAATTTGTGATAATAATGTTGCTAGTATATCCTCTCTTTGAAATCTGTCAAAAATATAACAGAATTGTATAAAAGGCAATTTGAAGATTGTATCTTTCTGAATAACAGTTGATTTACTTCGCTACATATGTAATGAACAAATTGAAATATTGCCAAAGAATATATAAACTCATATAATTATAAAATAAGCTTTATAAAAAAATTCTTTGTCAAAAATTACTTCCCACAGACCTAATAGCTAAATGTACTAAGGTATGTCCAACATCAAAAGCACTACTTCTATTTAGAAGCAGAACTTCTGAATGCGTCAATTGACGAGCAGGATCACCACCACTTGCCAAATAAGCTTCAACAGGAGCATTGTCACCTTCCACAATGCCAAGACACGCGTTTAACCAGCACCAATCAGTATGACGCCTTAATTGTTTTAGTCTACGCTCATAATCACAATTATTAGGGGATTGAGGAGTTGACAAATTGTCATTTCTGCTATCAGGATATCTATGTGAATTCCTACAATATAAGAAAATATAATAGATTCGAATAGATTCAATTTCCTTACTAATTCTACCAATAAATTCTAATTAATAATCAATCATTCTCAAAACAAATATAAAAAAATAGGTTTACCTTCGTCCCACAGCTAAGTTCTCATCTCTCTGGTTTTGATGTATATAAGGTGCATGAGGTGGAGAAGGTAAGTTACGCTGGCTATGATCTCTTTCTGGACTTGGTAAAATAACAGCCACATTATTGGTTGTTCTGTCTCTTCTATCTTTTTCTTTAGGATTACCACACATCACACACTTTGTGGCTTTTGGCCAATTTTCGTAAGTACATATTAGACAAGACCACTTCTCAGGATGTAAATTAGCTTGTAAATTGTAATATCTTTCTGGATGTAAGTTTATTGGAGGAGGATTTGATCCTGAGTTTGGTGGCGGATCTCCTAGCCTAAGAGGTGCTAGATGTTCATGCAAATTCGAGGCTATGGAGTGTATTGACTGATTAAGACCTGTAGGTTTTCTATTTCCACACTGAACACAACGTGTGGTATTTTGATAATTAAGATAGGTACACATTGCACAAGACCACTTTCCCAATGGTACATTTTGAGAACTAAGATTGTAAGAATCTGTTGGACTTAAATGAGTTACTGGGCCAGATGCAACGTTTGATCCAGACCTCTGCGGACTTGGATCTCTTAGGCGATAAATATCCTCTCCTAACAAAGGCTTGGCACCTCTGCACATTGTGCATTTCAGTGATGAAGGCCAATTCTCGTATGTACAATATTCACATGTCCATTTTGATTCTTGTTCTTCAAGCCTGCTATTCATTTTCTCTATATGGCCCTTTATTGTGTAAATATTATTGTCTTTAATGTATAGACAATGTGATGTTGATACACTACTTAAAAGTATTTATAAAGCATAAACGTGGTGTCAAAAGTTACATTAAATATTTGTTAAATTGTTATTGCATGTAATAATAAAATTTCTCATATTTTGTGTCATAAAATACGACGCAAAGATAATTTCCATAAATATTAATGATATATATTATGTACTTGTCATAAAATGAAGTTCATGTCATGTGGTAAACATGTTGATCGTATGTAGCAAAATAAAAGCTGCCACAGTTATATAAAAGTAGACAGCTACCAAAATCTGCAAAGTAAAGAAAGAAACGATGTGACTAATAAAGAAAAAAACATGACATATCAGAAATAATGATGCGTGTAACACTAAACAACAGAAATACCGTCGTAACATTAACGAATATATATACCGTCGTACACAACGAATATATTCAATATATAATGTCAATATATAATATATAATGTGAAGGACTCATCAAGAGCCAATTTATTTACATTATTTGAATAAATCACAATCGTATACAAATAATACACATAAGACGAACAATAACAGTGCGAACGAATGTTTCTAGGGAAGCGTGACATTGAATTTTTTAACAAGGCTAAGACGTTTCAAAACCAAAACGCGGTAAACTGTAATCAAAGTTTGAAATGTGACTGACCTCTGCGTGTCGTGCAAGTGTCGCGTCAAGGATAAACGGATGAATAGAATTTGTCCGAAACAAAGTAAAGCTTATACACGTGGTAGTAGATCGGAATTGGGGCTACCTGGCAAAAGTCGAGCCTGGTGTCCCGAAAATTGGTGTCACGCGCGAATAAGCTCCATCGAAGTACTATGCATCGGTCGATCGCTGACGAAAGTGACGTGAGGACAGTTGTCGATCCGTAGGAATCACACACCACGACTAGCGGCCCGCTTTAATCGCATTTAAACAATAGAAAAAGGTTAAGACGCACGGTCGCGCGATGGATTTTTCGCAAAGGCGGAAGCCCGCGTCTTCTCGAGTTTTTGCGTTAATATCCAAATGAATCTTCTTCCCCACCGACGAAGACCCGAGGCACGTCACTCGTCGAACGGGTGAAACGCGACGAGCGAAACGAGACGAGAAACCTTTCTCTGCACTCACTCACTCCTCCGAAACGGATACGCTATCTGTCTCGTGGCTGCACTCTGCGCCTCTTTTCTCTCTACGAATCGAACGCAGTCATGATGTTTTCCTACGATACTAGCATGCAAAACTGCGGACTTCGTTGAGAAAATAGGTTTTGACAATCATTCGCAAACAGATGTCAGTGCTGCCAACTCATATCTCGTCGTCCGACGTTTCACGTAGTTACGTCACGCAATTCATCCGCAGACATCCTAACTACGACTCGTTCGTAAATTGATTTACTCACGAAGGCTTTTGAGACCCGTACGCGAATGATTTCCATCCAAAAATATTGTAAATAATCACAGATATTTCGTATTATGGTTACACTGGTGGTGTCGTATCAACTTCCGGCTTTTAACATGCACTATGAATCTCTCTTTCCTTCGTTCTCTTTTGCTTGCAGATACTCTTGCATTAATTTCAGAGAATTCAGTCGCTTCTGTCGCGAAGAAACTCGTAGATTTACCGAGATATTTGTATTGTATAAGCAATCCTTGAGCGGCATAATTATGATACAAAATAGTCACGGTAGATCATTCGTTCATGCAATGCGCGCAGAAAGTTATTTTTTATTTATAAATATTTTGGGCCAAGTGCCAAATGGGACTTAGCCTAGACATCTAGCCATCTATCCTTGACATTTGATTCAATAAGACATTTAACAATTCTTTCTACTTTTTACTGTTTACATACCCTATTCACGTTTTTCCAGGCATCGTCTGCTAAACAACTAATGACGTCACGGTGTACCAGCTGAAGATCGGTAATAGAGCGGTGATTTGCGACGCGATACGAATTCCTTTTTCACCAGAACGCTTGCAGCTGAGATCTTTTTACGGCAAAGAACATTATGAAAATTACGATATTATACGGTAGCGAGACAGGTACTGCACAAGATGTGGCTGAACAAATTTGGAAAAGTGCCAAAAGGTTTTGTTATTGTCCTTCTATTGCACATGTGTATAGAAATATACATATATTGTTTTGCATTTGGAAAGTTTGAAATTATTAATTGCCATCAAAAGCCTTATCGATGCTGTTTTATAGTACAATCAAAAATACTAATGTTGTAAAGGAATATCTTTTTACAAGTCTCTCTTTGATTTCATTCCAGAAAAGGCTTGGAAAGCAGTGTGTCTGCAATGAACGATTATCGCATTGAAAATCTTGATTCAGAGAAAATGATACTGTTTGTTGTGGCAACTACAGGCCAAGGAGATCCTCCTAATAATATGAGACAATTCTGGAGACTTATATTGCGAAAGAATCTACCAACAATATTGCTTGCCAATTTAAAATATGGAATATTAGGTTTAGGTGATAGTTCCTATCAAAAATTTAATTTTGCAGCAAAGAAATTAAATAAAAGATTGATGCAATTAGGTGCAACGGAACTGTTATCTATTGGGCTCGCAGATGATCAACATGATTTAGGAATTGATGCTGTTGTTGATCCATGGTTAGAAGAAATGTGGATAAAAGTTGAAAATACATTTAATCTTCCTACAATAGATTTGATCAGTAATCAAAATAACATAATTGAAAGATTTCATATTTCAGAGGTAAATAGAAATTTCATGAATAATGAATATTGCTTAATTCATGATATTTTCATGAAAGAGGTTTTTGTCAATAATGAAGCAAAGGTAGGCACAATAATTGAAAATACAAGAACCACTGCACGAGATCATTTTCAAGATGTTAGATTGATTAAATTTAAATCAGATAACATTAACTATCAACCTGGAGATATAGTATACATTAGACCCAAGAATTCTCCAAGACAAATTGAAAGATTTTTTAATATATTAAATGATAATAATGTACAATTAAATCCAGACATGTTAATTCAAGTAACTGAAAAAGAAATTAAAGTGCCTAATGTTCTAAAGCAAATTCTAACTTTACAACAAATTGTAGAGCAATATTGGGATTTAAGCTTTAAACCACGCAGATCTACAATGCAATTATTATCTGTCATTAGTAAAAATGAATTAGAAAAGGAAAAGTTATATGAATTTACAACAGCAATTGGTCAAGAAGAATTATACAATTACATCAATAGGCCAAGAAGAACTATTTTGGAGTTACTAGCAGACTTTCCTCATACAACTAGCAAATTAAATGTAAAATTATTATTTGAAATTATGTTTCCTATAAAACCTCGTGCTTTTAGCATAGCTTCAAGTTTAAGGGTTACTGAAAATGAAATTCATATCTTAGTGGCTGTAGTAAAATATAAAACAAAGCTGGTAGAACCAAGATATGGGTTGTGCTCTAATTGGTTGGCAAGTTTAAAAAAGAAAGACAACATAATATTTTGGCTACAAAAAGGGACATTTAAGTTTGAATATGATAAGCCAATGATATTCATTGGCCCTGGAACAGGAGTTGCACCATTTCGTTCAGCTATATTAGATAAATATGCATTAAATGATGATTTAAGTGATTGTATTCTTTTCTTTGGCTGTAGAAACAAGGAAAAAGATTACCATTGTAAAGATGATTTTGAATATTTATCACTGCAAAAAGATTTAAATTTATTCTGTGCATTCTCCAGAGATCAAGAGCATAAAATGTAAGAATATAACATTTAAATATGTAAGTTATTCAATTAAATGTATCATTCGCATTTTTTTGTAAACATTTTTTTCAGATATGTACAACATGTTATACGTAATCAGAAACAACTCTGTTGGGAGTTCCTTAATAGAAATGGTAACATTTATCTAGCAGGTAATTCTAAAAATATGCCAAATTGTGTTCGTGAAGAATTTGTTAATTTAATTAAAGAAATAACTAAATCAACTGAAGAAGAAGCAGAAAATTTTGTCAAACGATTGGAAAATGAAAATCGGTATCAAGTTGAAACTTGGAGTTAATAAAAAGATTTTTAAAAATTATTTACAACTGTCATTTTTAAAAATCATATATATATAAACACGACGATATATATCAAAAGCATTTAAAAATAAAACCACAATTTTATGTTCGAATGTAAAATGAAAATCGTGGCATCGTTCTATCCTTTTTTATTCGCGTAAATTTTCTATTTTAAATACAGAAAATATTAATACTTTCGCCGTCCAAATACAGAAATACTTAATATAAACACGTCGATCAAGAAGTAATAATTGCCTGACGTTAATCATACGTTAATCAATTGAGTTCATCGTGCAAAATTTTTTGTTTGTCGATTCAAATATTACAGATGCGCGCGCGTATCGCAACATCTCGAGCTAGTTCGTGAATCTCCGCGCAGCGTGGAGCTCACTTGACGAACTCTAACCCCTATCTTATCTTAACCTATAAAAATAAAGCAGAAAGATGGTACGTCTCGCACGTTGGAGAACAGTTCTATTCATAACTTTAAAGCCTTAACTACTGAATATGCAGTGATACCGATATTAAGCTTATAAAGTATCACCTCTTAAAACGAGATCCAACAATAATTGGGAGAACTTTGCAAATGGCAATTAAATATTTCCCCGTAATTCAAGCTTTTCAATGATTATTTAAATTTTGAACAACATCCGTCCATCTGGCGAAATTGAGACTGTATTCAGACGAAACGACCATCGAAAATTCATCTCTCCACCCAACACGTGAAGTGCATTAACCCTTATATTGCATAGGCCTTAATTTGATTTAAGTTTGAAAACTGCGGAAAAATGGCGGGCAGTTACACAAAGAAGGAATTCAGTGTGGGTCCCGAGGAACAAACTTTATTAAAAGATTCGAATGGAACTCGTATCGTACCCGCGAAAGGTATATACTACTTAGCTTCTTTATCACATTTTTTTCACCACGTTTTCAAACATTGATCGTTTCAACTTTCCCACTATATTTTAAATGCCAAAAACTTCACCCTTCCGAGAAATATGTCTTTTCTTTTTCTTTATTTTCATCATAAATATTCTACCAAACCGGTCCTCTGGTAATGGAGATTCACAAAATTCACTTTAAATGTTAGTTTTCGAACACTTCATATCAGAATTTCGACTTACGCGTGTTTAAGATTTATTTTCAAATAGAACAGTTTGTTATGAAGTGTTAAGTATTATTTGTGTTATATATATTTTTAGATATTAATTTGATATTGCATCTTTTTTATTCCTTTTTCTTTTTAACTTCTAATTGATAACTTTTAATTTAATTTGTCAATTCTATTAAAAAGTTAATATACAAACACTCATATTTTTAAATATTTAAAATATTTAATGATCTGTGTAATATTCTATACAATAATATTACATAGTTATCTTTAATTTACCATTGTATACTGCATGGGTAAGTAACTTTTTTTTTTAAGTGAAATAAAAAAAACATGTGTCTTTCTAGATATTTTTTATCATAGACAAATACTTTGCATATGCATGTTAAGATAAGTAAAAATGAAATGCAATTACGTCCTAAGTAACTCTTCAAAATAACTTTTATTTATAATACTTCAAAATATATATATATATGTCATTAAATTGTATACAAATAGATGTGTTTCATATAGAATATTATTTTTTATTAACTCAAAATATATAGAAATTAGCTATAAACATATTAAGAAATAAAAAGTATTAATAACGCATCATTATAAAATAATATATATATGTTTTGTCTTAAAGTCAATATTGTTATTATGAATTAACTAATATTATAATTAGATTTTAATAATTGATATTGATATGTTCTTTCTTATTTTATTGTATGTACTTACAGAATAATATAATGAATATTATACAGGAGCATAATTTAACCAGATATGGATACAACTAAAATAATATATAAATTTTATATAAATCTTTCCAGATTACATTAAAACTTCATATAACACTTTTAAAGATTATATAGCAGTAAATGGTAAATAATATTTCATTTCTTATAGGATATAAACATAATGTCCATGGAATTAAGATTCATGCTGTTATATATTCTTTTTATACTCTGCGTTACATAAACCTAAGATATAAATATGAAATCATATGTGTGTATGTGTAATGTATCTATCAAATGTTTGTGTTGTGATCACTAAATTAATAAATTGCTTTAAATTGGAGCATTAGTAAAGTATTCTTAAGATAGCTCTAACTGCAGCATCATTATTGTATATATATATATATATATATATATATATATATATATATATATATAT